CTTCGAGATAGGGACTTCAACGTCGTAAACATGGCCCAACGAGGGCTGAAAAGGGACTGGAAAAGCCTGCAAAGGCACTATCAAAGTCACTATCCTAAGCGTGTCTCCTCGAGATAGGGACTTGAACGTCCGGGTACATGGCTGGTCAGGAGCAGAGATAAGGAAAGATAAGGTGGTCAGGAGCAGAGATAAGGAAAGATAAGGACCAGGAGCGTGTCTGCGAGATAGGGATTTGAACGTCGTAAACTGGAATAAAAAACTCCCCCTAACGTGGCCAAACATAGCTTCCATATTGAAAACGGGTTGGCATAAAGTAAACATACGTCCTATGAGATAGCTTCAGGTAGGTGCAACATGGGACCACACCTGTCATATGGCTGCGCGTTTTGTCGGGTCGCACAATCGAGCTCTGTCAGGGGAGCTGAACGCCTCGTGCGCGCAAAACATGACCTTTTGCGCCGAATCGAAACGCACGCACCGACTCCCAATTTCGTTCTATCTACAGGGTGAAACATGGCATCCCTTCGGTCATGAGCCACCTGCATCACGTTGCATCACGTTCCATGATGCTTTAACCTTGTAGACTCGTGCAAATCTTGATGGGGAAAAGAACCAGCGCCAATGATAACATGAGCAGGCAATTTCAGGTGTCGATCGGTGAATGCCACGACCTGCCACGCCTTGCCTTTGTCGCCGACCTCCGTGCTGGAAGTATCTGCAGCAGGCACTTCAGGAAGAGACGCCTGCAGTGTAGAACCCTTCTGGAAAGTACTGCAATAAATACTGAACAAATTTCAGTTAGCCGGACCTCTAGTGATGGTACATCACTTACTAGTGCAATAGTGCAGCTATGGTTGAAGCAGCGAAAACAACCATCGCCAATGATAACATGAGCAGGCAAGGTGTCGATCGGTGGATGCCACTACCTGCCACGCCTTGCTTTTGTTACCGACCTCCGTGCTGGAAGTATCCGCAGCAGGCACTGCAGGAAGAGACGCCTCCAGGTTGGAAACTCAAATACGTTTATCCATTCTCCGGTACTAGACCATCAAACAAGTACACAGTGATGTTCGTAGGTCTAAAAAAGTTTCAAGGGAGATGGCTCATTTGTTTCTGGCTGGCTACTTCAAAGCGATCTTTCTCTGATCGTACACGCTGCATGGTTGCAATCCTTGGAGCTCAGCTTCCCCCAGGCTCAGGAAGGCATATTGACGCACAAAGTCAAAGCGCCGCGAATCGTATTGGGGCGGCAGGAGCACCCTGCCCGGACCGAGCTGTTCTCCACAAAACTAACATGTCGTGTGCGCACAAAAGCTGCCTACGTCTTTGGCAGGCACTGAATGTCTTGGTGCTTTGGTTCGGGTGGCATTGAAGCACCGTTGCAAGTGAAGCAGATTCGAGGTTTCCAACCCCACTTGAAGCGTTTGTGTTCGACAAATTTCTTTGGCAATCACCGGCTCAAAATCGTGCAAAGACAAATTGCGCCGATCACACGAACTGCACGGCTTTCCCGCCCATTTCTGGAGCTCTGCTTGTGGCAGGGCACATGTGTGGCACAAAATGGCGAGAAACGAATTTACGACGCAATCCTTTAGTGTGCGAGTACTGATCTGATCATGAGGCCATGTACGGTTGCAGCTGAGGCAGGTGTACAGTCTGTCTTGACAGGTAGCACAAAACCACATCCGCGGTTTCGTCAACGGGCCAAGCGACGGCGTCGAGGTCCGTTCTCCACATCCAGCCCAGCACAGAGGAAAAGCGCAATCTGTACAAACTATCCATGGCTTAGTCTTGCCATCTTCGGAGCGTTTGTGACGCCCACGCAAGTGGGTCGCCAACATTTCACAGCGTCATCCCCTGCCTTGATCAGACCCATACCCAAATGGCTGCAGCACAAGGACCCGTTTTTGATAGTAGTGGCGACTCTTCTGCAGCACTCTGCCTACATTTCAAAATATGGACCATTTCCTGCGTCGCCCTACCGCCTACAAACTATTGACCCGATCTGCATCGTCAGCCCCTGCCTTGTGGCTGCAGTCTTTGAGCCCAAGCTTGTTTGAAAAGGAAAGCGAACCCTGCCAGGATCAACCATCCCATGCTTTTTGCATTGCATGTATTCCAACATGGGCCATGTTAAATCCCTATCTCGAAACATGACCGGGAGGGGATCACTTCCGGGGCTATCTTCCGTGGAAATATTGTCCCCTTCCATGCGGTGCGGGCGGTTACCGTCGCGAAGCGAAGTGAATAAGTAGCCAAAGGGTTCTTTGTGGTTTTGGTTTTGGGTTCCCGGGTCTTTCTGCTTTCTTGTTTTGGTTCAGCTGTCACACAGTTGGAGCTTGAGTTCAACCCTCAGCTTGCAAACAGTACAGTACTGAATACCATATGTATATACATACAAATATTTTTTCGCAAGTGTCCATTGGTCTGTTTTGTTTTTGCTATTTTGCTGTTGCCAAACTGTCGGCAAACTAAGGGTTGAGCTCCAGCTGTAACTATGTGACAGCTCGCACAACCAAAAGCAAACAATACAAAGAAAACACACCTATGATTCTGATGTAGTCCAGATCAACCCATTGTCTTTTTTCCGTCTGGTTTGTTTCGGTATGCTTACGTTTTGTTGTCTTGTAGTAGTTTGCTGGCTTGCTTCCTTGGCGGTCCCCTATTTTGACTAGCAATACGCCTAGTTAAGAAGTGGTTCTTTCCTAGTTAAGAAGTTTTTGTTCCTCATATTCAGTTCGTTCACTGCTGACACACTTGATTTACAACATCATATGGTTCATTTACATAACTGTTCCTCTCCCCTCAACAGTCTCAATTGGCATTTCTATTGCTCCTTTGCAGGTTGCAATACGTTTCTACCTTCACTTTTTCTGGACTTTCGATCGGATTAGAGTTCAGCACCAAACAAGGAATATTGAACATTGTGTGAATCTTCACAATGACAAAGTGTTCAAGTTGTTTTGTCCTCCCTTAGCTACTTCTATTCTTCAATATTGTCATTCTCCAAAAGGTCAAAATAGCAAACAACTAAACAAGGTCCTCAGCTGGACCACACACATCCAAAGTTGCATCTCATTCAAGATTTTATTCCATGCAAAAGCCATTTCTGTTGGTCTTCTTGTCTTGTTGTCGTTCTTGTTTCTGTTTTGGACAGGGCACCGGCCAGACTACAACGGCAATTAAGTCGAATCTGCGCCATTTGGACGGCTTTTTGCGAGAACCAAGTAGATAACAATATTCTTATCTCCTTGGGAAACTCTGCTTAATCTAGACACGCTGCTCTTTGTTATGTAGCAGTTGTCAGCAAAGTCTTGTTTGTTCCCCAGATCGCGAAAGCTATTGGGGTTCTTACTTCAAGTAAAGGGAAAGGTGCCCGTGTGCGCTTTGGAGCCTGGGCGCTGGCGCCGTTGCAGGCTGACTCTGCCAGATATGTGGCCGTGTGCACTTCGGAACTTGGGCGCTGGTGCGGCTGCAGGGTGCTGCTGCAAGATGGCCGTGGTTCTGGGCGCTTTGGAAAAATGTCTGTGGCCGTGCACGTTTTGGGGCCTGGGCGCTGCTGGAGGGTGCTGCAGAGTGCCGCTGCAAGATGTTTATGGCAGCGGGCGCTTTGGAACCTGCACGTTCTCGCCGCTGTTGTGGCGCTGCCCGCAAATATCTTTCCTATCTGGCAATCTGGTGTCTAAGCTGGCGTAGTTCCCAAGCATGCTCTTGAAGACTGTGTGTCATCAACAAGCAAATGCATCAATCAAAACTAATTAAAGGAGTTTGGTCACATGCAGCAAGGCTGATTGCTCCTACTCTTACACAACACCCCTAGTAGACTTGCCTCCCTTTGTCCCCACAGATAGCGAGAGCTATTGGAGTTCTTACTCCCAGTTTAGGAAAGTATGCGCTTTGGAGCCTGGGCGCTGGTGCATGGCGCCGCTGCCAAATGTCTACGCCCGTGTGCGCTCTGGAGGGTGCGCTGTGCTGCTGCCAGATGTCCACGGCTGCGTACGCTGTGGAGGTCACATGTGGGGCCACATGAATACATATATACATATATAGTCACATACTGTTCTATACACACATGTCTCATCTACGGTACCACGGTTGATGATATCCTTGAATTCTCATTGCTAAGCTTCTCAAGCCTGAAGGATCACCGTAACATAGGCACAATTGGGTGTACTATCTATCTGCCTGTCTGTCTGCTTGCATATATACAAGCAAAGGCGGTACAAAAAGTTGGGAAGGTTGTGTGTATTCCAGGGAATTTTTTGTCATCATGGCATGTTGCCACTTCGAACAACAAAAAGATTGGCTGCTCTTAGCCCCTCTTGACAGGGTGGTTTCAGGCTCTTTGAACCTTGGATGCAAGTTAATTCGCAGCTAGCGAGGGCATACGAGAGCTATTGGGGTTCTTGCTTCAAGTTTCGGAAGAGGTGCCTGTGTGCGCCTTGGAGCCTGTGTGATCGCGCCGATGCAGGGTGCCGCTGCCAAACGTGTACGGTGTGGCAGTGTTCGCTTTGGAGCTTGGGTGCAGGTGCCGCTGCAGGGTGCCGCTGCTGGGCGCTGCCCACAAATATCTCTTTTGCTATCTTGGGTCCATACCGGCGTAATTTTTTGAACTAATTCACTAAAGATTGACATCTTTGTACTGGCAGAGCCTTCAGGACAAGACGAATAGCTTTCTGCCCGGCACAAACCTGACTCGAATCTTGAGCGGCTCGCAGGTGTCAGCCTTTGATCTGCGTGCAGCAAGTACATAATATACCGCCTCTGATGACTTCGCCATTTGCTCGTGGTTGCACTGGGACTGTGCTGGGAGACTTTCTGAGGCCTCACACGCGGAGACGATTGGAAGCAAAATCTTGCATTACAGCCCTGTAGCGGCATGCCTGCAATATCTGGAATTTGACGGGCTGGCATGCACCAGCCCCATCCCTGCAAGGACTTTGGGTTCCACAACTCAATTGGAACTTTATGAACATTGCTGCCTTCTCCTCTTGCTTCGGGAAAGATGCCAAACCCAGCTGATTGAGACCTTCCCTGGCTTCCTGGCAGGCCAATGTTCCTGTGGATTGTTTTCATTGGTCTGTCTGACTGAGTTTTTAACGGTTTTCGTGCGAGTTATATATTGCAGCACACTGTACTAACACTGTACTACACTGCGGCCACCGCATCCAGGACTAAAGTACGGAAATTAACAAAAATGCCTACCACCAAAAGAACTAGACCGAGGCCAGGCCACTCACTGAACATTAGCAACAGTCAACGACATACTGTTGGCATGCTCTCCGAAACTCGCACCAAAGGTCCAACAGTGGGGCTACATTTTACACCACATAATGTCAGGCAAAGCCAGTGGGCGGAAACTTGGTAAGAACATCCCCCGTACATGTTCCCTTGGGTGTCTTACATTACATTTCATAGACAAATTGTGTCTATAGAATGAGTTGCCTGGGATAAGTTGTCTATAAAATGACAAGCCTTGCATGTATTATATAAAATGATTACCAGCATGTGAAAACAAATATAAAACATATCACAATCAAAAAACAATCTCTATAAGATGAAGTTCTACCCCTTGACATCTTGATCTTAACAACATACAACAATATGATCCCCCTGCTCGCTCTATAGAATGCCCTTCCTGCATCCTTGCACACAATCCCATCTGAAGTACATACTTGCTCAAGCAGCCCTCTATAAAATGATGTCCTGTGATGTTCGAATATATTCTGTAAATCTGAAACCACATATTCTATATAAAATGGGTGTCCAAAACCCATTTCATAGAGGAAAGTAATTGTCATTTCATAGAGCCTCATGTACGGGGGATGTAAGAACATATCAACACCTGATGCGATGAAATATCGATGTCGATGCACTTGTCACTATTTGTATTTTTTCCATATATATATATATGTATATAAGGGGGCGATAGCTTAATGTGGTGATAGCTTAACGTGAGTAATGTGAGTAGCAAGTTGTGACTTGCGATGTCAGCAGTCGCCCTCTGCAGCTACACCGCCGTCTGCTCTGCTTGCTCCCGTGCTACTTGTGCCATGCGCTCCGCTGGAACTGCGCTGTTAACATCGTGCAACAAGTCTCTGAGCAGGCGCTCGTAGCGCCGCACACAGCTCATTCCTGGATATACAGCCCTCAAGCTTAACCCCAATAAATCACATCAACCAACGAAGTTTTCGACTGGAGGGGTTTTGATCGCTGTAGGTGGTGGTGTAGCTCCTTCGAAGCCAGGCTAGTACGGGCAAGCAAAACAGGCAAAATCAGTGGCACGGATATTCTTCTGCTGCAAAAGGCAGTGTGGCTGTTTCCCACCTGTTTTGTTTGGTTTGTGCAATCAGGCCCTTGGTGAATGAAGCCTGTATGTATGGACTCAATTAGAGGACCCGTAATCCCAAACCTGCACGGCTGAATCATAGGTCCTAGATGTTGAGCAAACAGGCCCGACTCTGGTGGTGCGGAGAGCCCGCAAATGGAGCGGATCGTGGAGATGGAGCGGATGGAGCAGAAAAACGCTGATCCCTCTCGCAATGTGTAACTCGCAACTTTCTCATCGGAACGTCTTTGGATGAAATCAAAGACCAACCGAGGAACCTCTTTGACAGTCTCAGGACAACCTTCCCCTGCTTTCGTAGTTCCCATGCGCACTGCTGCCTTCTGCCTCTGCTCAAATCCGCTGAGTGAAGCCTCGCGCTCCGCTCGTGCTCTCTCAAGTGCTGCCCGTGTAACTGACGCTGCCAGTGCCTTGGTGCAACATTGGCCTAGCTCAGCAAACACGTCCAATGTTGGCCAGTATGTTGTCAACGCTGTCAACTCATTCAAGTGGATTGAGGGCTGCTCTCGGCGAAGGTCCGAGTTTTTAGCCTTGACTCACTGTCAAAAGACACATGATCTTCGACATCACTACATCATTCCACAAAATGCGTCTAGCTATAAAATCTGAGTCAGGTAGCAAACGTTACTTCGCTCCCACCATGTCCCAGTGCATGTGACTGCCCAACTTGTCTTTGTTGGGAAGGAAAAGCAGCCATTCCTGGCAAGAAAATTAACATATCTGAATGAAATGGCATCAAAAAGCGAAAACTGAACAACACATCGGGGCACCTTCAAAAACTGCAAAGCTTTGTTCGCATCTCTTATCTCTACAAAGAGCCACACGCTACCCGCTACCTACCAAACCAAAGGTCATCCAGGATCGCTCGGATTTCACGAGAGTATTTGGCATTTGGTGAAAATCAAAGTGTTTGACATCCATGTTCTGCGTATTTCTTAGCGACAAGGCGGCTCCTTTTGGTCATACCAAAGGTTGATTCAAGCAAGCTACGCTGGGCTACACATGAGAGGCGCCCGCACCTTCAGCGGATTCAACCGGAACAAAAAGGTGACACTATTTCCACAGGAGGCCATTTTGTACACTCACGAATCCGACCTGAGGCATGGCAAGTCAGGATTGCTGAGGAAACGCAAGAGCATGACTTGTAGGAGCCCCTAGTAGCTTCTTGCTCCTAAGACTAAGGCCAGGAGCCCCTAGTAGCTTCTTGCTCCTAGTAGTAAGGCCAGGAGCCC